GGTGACCCCAGTGCCAGGGAGGCAGCAGTGGGTATAGGATGGCATGTACCGGTGACCCCAGTGCTGGGCAGAGGCAGGTAGATCACCAGCCCTACTTGGCTAGCCAGTTGCAGACCAGTGAGAGACATAACCTCATTAAACAAGATGTTTAGCTTCTGACCAGCACCCAAAGTTGTCCTCTAGTCTTACACACATGCACACTCATAGACACACACATACACGCACACTCACGCATGCACACACACATACACTCAGACATACCACACACTCACACTCATACATACGCACTCACGCACACACAGGCACTCATGCACACACACACATGCACACATGCATGTATACACTTGCTAACATGAGCCTGCACTTACCCAGGAAAGTTAAGTTTGGACCATCACAGAGATTGTTCCATATGGTAAATCTCTCCTCTCTAACTTTTCACAATGTCCAACCAAAAGGACAACTTTACTCTTATGCATGTTGGTAACAAACACACCAGCTGTTCCTAATAATTAGAGTTATTTTTCTTTTCCATTCTTTTTTTTTTTTAATGCTGGGTTCAGTGGTGTTCATTACATTATTTAAAATAAAAACTAATGCAGGTTCATAAATATAAAGTGCTGTTCTCGCTTCTAAATCCCATAAGGCAGTAAATATAAAGGACTGCCGCCTTCCCAAGTGTTACAACCGGAACGCAAACCGTTTATGGCTAATTGATCACCCCCCAACTGTGGTTCCTCCTCAGAAGCTAAATGACACTAATTCATTTGCGTGTTTGCCTTTTATGCCTCAGAACGAGCACAGCTGGTTTGGATTCATGGCTGCCTTCTGGAGAAGATCTTGCCTGTTTAGCCCTGGAAAAGGAGGGAAGACACAGATGTAAGTGAGGATCAAAGGCCGTGTCCTTGTTGGGAGAGGGGTGCCATCGTGTCCGTAGAATGGTCCACACGGATCAGGTTCCAGGTGGCCAAGAGCTCGACAGTCATGGAAATATTTTGTGAGCTATCATTCAGGATGGATCTACTTCAGCACAGCCAAATTCCTCAGGATAAAAAGAGGAGTGCTTTTCAACCATTTCCAGAATATTTTAATGTGATTTAGATCATAATGGACCCAGATACTTCTCCATTGTATTTATTCTTGGTCCCTTCACTGAGGGGCAACTGTTAATAAAACAGCAAATCTTCTCATCAGATGGTAGTTCACTGTGCCACCTGTAAAATATAAATATGAAGTGAAAGAAGCTCAGACCCAGCTCCTTGAGTGACAGCAATTGCTAGGGTGTGCAGAATTGGATTCATTCAGGTTTGCCTTCTTGAGGCTCACAGCAGAATGGGCAGGCTGCAGCTCTGTGGGATATGCACTGTCGAGACGTGTTTGTAGCTTCAAGGCTCTTTCCTTCCTTAATTCATGGATATTTATTGTATTATTTGTGAATCAATGAGTAAGTTGAGAATAATATGCCTGAATAAAAGTACAGAATACCACCTGTGGATTGACGATGGCTATGCCTGGGGTATCTGAATCCAATGTCTTGATTAATCCTGGTCTGTGACTGTGAGGTCTGCTGTGTGCATGGGAAACGTGCCTTTGGGTTTTCATTGTTTATGTGTGTTGAGTTACTAGTGTGTCAATCAAGACACCAGTAAAAGACAAAAAGGGCTCTGCCTCATTCAGTTATGAAAGGGGCTAATGAAGCAAAGATTGTTGTTCATTTCTCTGAGAGGACTTAGCTAGCCCCTCTGCCATTGTTTGGTGTTACTATTGAGTCGCTCACAGCATGACTTATTTTAGAATGGACCAATGATCTTACATAACAAAGTCATGCATTTAGTATAGTATCAAACTAGTAAAACTATATAAGTACATTCATCAGTAACTTAATACAACGAGCTGTTTTACTCAGCACACTAAAAAGTGTTTTGATAAACAACACAATTAGCAGAACCGCAAAGGCTAATTAATGACTAGCCATTGCTACAGGGGACCTGACAAAACCTGAACCCTGAAACTGAGTGATCATTACAGGTCCTCCCACTAATTTTCATCTGGAAAGAAAAATGCGACACAATAGTATGCCTGAGAAACTTCATTGTTCTTTTTTAAAATGGATTTGTGGATCATTTTATAATAAATGAATGGACAAATTAAAAACATCGCTTAATGTTTTGGCACATTATCCTGAGGGTTGATGAAGATGGTTGCTATTATTATCAGTCTGTAAAGGGTATAACTTCATGCCTGAATCCATTATATAGGGGCATAAGAATTGTAGTGTATGCTTGTAATCTAAATCCTTGAGAGGCTGAGGCAGGAAGATTACTGTGAATTCCAGGATAGCTTTAGCTACATCACAAGAACTTACTTCAAAGGTAATTTAAATTTTTTTAATTTTAAAATTAAAAACTAAAAATGTAAACAAACACACAATTAATTAATTAGTTAATCAATTCTCCCCACCCTCTTCAAGTTCCCCAAGACAAAGACTAGGCACCTTCTACTTTCTGAACTAATTACACAGACACCACTGTTCAGATGCATCTCATGTTAAAAGTTAATTTCAAATTAGGTTAAAAAAAATTAAGTTTCTCAACCATACTAGCCACTTCCCAAGCCATACGCATGGTGGCTACCACACTGAAGAGTGTGCATACACATTGACAGGGCTATTGTCAAAATTGCAGATGGCAGCCAATCTGTAAAGAAACGGTGATCAGTGTGTGTTGTCTTCAGAATAAGATAACAGATAATACATGATTCTTAGAGCTATGGAATACATGAATCAGTAAATGCATAGATTGCATGACAGTGCAGCTCATTGGTTAGTTGCTAATGGAATATGAACAAATTCATCCCATTTTGTAGTTTCTCTCCTAAGAGTTCTCTGACCGTTGTGTTGCTTGATAGGCACATCCGTCCTCCTCAACAATAGACAGTTGAAAAGGTAGCCTATTCTTTGGTCAATGAGAAAAATGTGAATTGACTTCATGAATATTTTAGTACCAAATTAATGGCTTTTAAAATATTCTAAATCTAGATGGCTCATTGTTTTAAAACTTGGTAGTTGACACCACAGAATGAAGAATATAAGTGACTGAATTCCTCTTTGAGATGGGAGTTTGGCTGTTGCCACTGCGGTTAAGACACTTTATGACTACATAATAATCAATGAGTCTTGCCAATCAGGGCTGATTTCTTGGTCATGTTCATCTACAGACCAATGATATGAATGTATTATGAAACAATTGCTATGAGTCCAGTTGGCATATATTAGTCACGAAACACTTTATTTTTGTACTGCAACTTACTTAAAAGTTTTCTGCTCATAAAATCTAAGGCTGCATGTCCAATAGGGCTGCCACCATACACACAAGGCTGCTTATGGCTAAAGTAATTAAAGTGAAGTGAAATGTAAAATTCAATTCTCCATTGCAGTGTCCACAGTTCACGTACTTGGCAGCTTCCTGAGGTTCTGGAGTCTGGGTTGGAGATGCAGTTAGTAGCTTGCTTGCATTATTCTGCAAGCTGCTATCAGAGGGTCCCTCAGACTGTAAGGACACACAGCAGAGGAAAGAGGGACAGACACGAGGACTGTGAGGCAGGCTTGTGAGTTGATCCACCCACAGTTCACTAAAGGCCCCTGGGAAAAGGTCGGGAAAGAGCTAAGCTAAGAGAAAAGAGCCTATGAGGAGCCCTTGGGTCCACACAAGCTTATTGTTTCTGGCTATTTCCTTTAAATACATGAATATTTATTGTATTTGCTGCTAGTGAGACAATAAAACTGTTTCTGAAAGAAAAAGAAAGAAGTCAAAGATTGCTGATGGACCAATGAGGAGTACCCTGAAATATCTGAATAGAGGACATTGATTAAGCCCTGTAACTCTGAGTTCCATTGCAGAAAATTCCACTTATTAGCTCTTAAGGATATGCACTTAAATCCAGAAATCAAAAATAGTACAGGTTGTACTCTTGGGTTTCTGTCCATTAAAGCAGCATGTAAGTCAACCGAGAACCCTATATACGAACACAAAAGTTGGGTTGTTTCTCTTCCAAATGTGTGAGTGCTTAATGCGATAAGAATCATTACTAATGTATTTATGAAGCTCCGAGCTCTAGGAATGCATCGATTAAGGCTGATGCTGCAGGACAAGGTATACCTGGATAAATATTTGTTCTTTGCAGATATGTTGTGGTTTTTTTTAATTAAGGAAAGGACAAAATATTTACTTAATTTGATTATTCACTAAATGAAATCCCAATTGAAGAGGGCTTCCCCACGTGTCTAGGCTGACAACACGCCCCAGGTGAACACCTGTGATTTCGGGTGTACTTTTTATTGTATTTCAATTCCATTCCTCGGGTTAATCAAACAATTAAATTACTGAACATATCATATAATCTGGCGCTGGTGTTGTCTGAGGGCTCGGAACTGACATCAGTAATGGCACTATCAAACATAGACTAAGGAGATTAGTATCTCAATTAACGAGGTCAAAGTGTAGGCCAGGGAGGACCTTTGTTATAAAATGCCACTCATGATTAATCTGGTCCCGATTCTCTAGAGAAGGCAAATAAACCCAGCCCTCATGTTTTTTGTCATGGCGATGGTATTTATTTGTTTAGGCACACTATAGAATTATACAGTGTCTGTCCCATCTCCTTGAAGTTGCAGGGATAAAAGGTCCCATATGCAACCAGATGACTCCGTGCATATTTGTGCTTGACAGACAGCTGCAGAGACTGAGTCAGGATCTCTTTCCTTCTACATGGGTTCCCTCAGGAGATTTACCTCTCCCATAGTGAGCAGGGGATCTGTAGCAGACAGACACATGGGCAGTCTTGGTTCATTGTATTCATTGTAGGTCTTAGCTTTAATACTTGAAAAAAAGAAAAGTTGACATTCTTAATTTCTTAAAATTTCATTATAAAAATGTTACAAAAAAAATCATTACTCGCTGAAATGAACCAGACCCAAAGACTTACATTTTATTAAGTGAAAATCCATAGCGATTACCACAGATTCACAAACATCTAAACATCTACAGAAAAAATTTTGCTAAGCATACATAAGCTAAGTCATTAAATTTTCGTCATCCACAGTGCTCATCCCTAGAAGCAATGGCTTCGGTCTACTTTAAACACTGGACCCCGCTCACAAACTCTATACTTTTCCTCGGTATTTACTTGAAGACCCCAAACCCTGTGTGAGTAATATTTAAATGTATTGTTTTTCTCAATGGGATGCTCTGTGTTGTTATAGAATATCAATGGTATCTGAGCAAAGGATTCGATTGTTCTGAAGAGGAAAACACAGCCATAGCCACATATTGCTAGAGAAGAAGAAGGCTAACATGAACCGATGATGACGAGTCAGCGTTATAAGTCACTGACGATGACTACTAATTTTCTGTCTGAGGTTCACATCACAATACATCTCAGGTGGTCCCTCGGTTAGCCAGGGCATAAAAGGGAGACCTGTGGAGCATGCACTGTGCACTGGAATCAGGCACTTTCATGCATATTCTTTTCTTAGTGAACCAATGAAACTTTATACAAACATTCACACAAATGCAAATGTAAATGAATATTTTGAGATTGATCAATTAGGAAATAAATATTTGACCACAAATTCTGCTGCTTCATGCAGAAAATACGGAAGTCAGTTGAAAAATAATTGGCATAAAGATAATATAAAATTTATCCAAGCTCACATATGAAGTATAATTAATGGATTTAGCCCCAGAAGGGGTTAACACCTTAATTTTAAATCTTACTTGATTTCTTAAGACACCATCCTAACAACCTAAATAGCAAATAGTAAAAGGGGAAATGTAGATATAATTTGAAAAATATCAACTCTTTCTATTTTTTTTCCTGCTTTGTACTCCCTGGATGGATGCTGACTGTCCCATTGTTTCCTGACTGGAAGGTCCATGGTTTTCCTAGCCTCAAGTTTAAAGATCAAGGGAACTGATGTAAGTGGAGGCAAAGTTCTTGTTTTGCTTTGGGTGGCCTTGATAAAACGCTCCTGTCTTAGTAAAGGCATGCAGAGGCTCCCGTTAGGCATCTGTAACTGAGTTCTCAATTAAATATGACCATGAACATAGTGCTGAGGATTTCCAAAGTTAAGAGAAAAGACAGAGTCAGGGTGGCAGAGATGTGTTGAATCTATAGCTTTAATCCATCAGGACCCTGGGCTAGGGATTTGGGATGAATAGTTATGGATATAATGTCAGCGACACGGATAGTTAAGTCATACAAATGTAGAAAGTGAAGGAGAAAGAACAAGGTGGTGTCGGATCAATGATGAGCACTGATGACGCATGATCTGGGGATCATGATTACAGGTCTGGGAGTCTGAGGTCCACACCAGAACCCATGTAGAGTGGAACTGTGATAAAATGTTAGATGCAGTATAGCGTGTTATCATAATGTTTGTGTTCGTGAGTTTTTTTCCCCATATTTGTAATTAGAGTAAAACGTAACCAATGAGAGGGCAGGGCATTCTCCAAAATTATACTGAGTAGTAATAGTAGCAGTGTATTAGTAGATGTCCTGTTAACGTATTCATGAACGCAGAAGCTCATGAAGACAGGATGACTGAGGGTTTCACATAAGGTAAAATTATAAGAGCCTTCTTTGTCTCGTCGGAGCTATGTCCAGTGTTTCTCTCCTTAGTAGATCATGTGACAGAGTCGTCCATACTTAGGTGAGTGATAGAGATATTAATGCATACGAGCAGTGTGATGAGTGAGTGAACACAGTGTCAGCCTTTGTTTTCATGATCTCTTCTGTCTTGTACTCTCAGAATGGATTCCGCCCCCAAGCGGATTCTCACTCTCCTTTGCTCATGAGCCTCATAATGAGCACGTTCAGACTGTAATGCAGACACAGTGTGAGTACCGTTTGTGTTTGGATCTTGTCTTCTTGATGCTTCTAAAGGTCACTTAATGTACTAAAAAGACCAGCCATGGCCAATGCTGAATGTATTTGAAATACAAGATTTGATAAACTATTGTCCAATTAAGCATATATAATGAAAACGGTCCTTTTCATTGCATAGACACTAAGGAACTCGTAATTATACCTAAGGATCTTGTACTTAGTTTTTTGTGAGTTAAAATTACCTCGGTAGTACTAGGTTATTTAGTCAATAAATGTGCCTAAATTAATAGAGGAGGGCTGATGTTGGATCTATGATGACCGCGGGTGCTGTATGAGTCGTGGATGGTGACTACAGGTCTGGGAGTCTGAGGTTCACATCAGAAAATGTCTAGGGTATTACCGGTGATCTTAGTGATGTATGTAAGGGATAGTCTATTTTAAAAATAGATGAATATAAATATTATTGTAACACGATAAAATAATATAAAATGTTATAAGCAAATATTAGTAACTCATTTTCCAATCAAGACATAATTCCACAAAGGAACAACTTATATATGCTAAATACAGTAGTATATTCACCAGTGATGACTCTGTTCAATAAAGTAAAATTGTATTAGTGTTTTTGGTAAGAAGAAAACCACATAGAGTAATGTCTTTTTATAACCTCTTCTGTTCTATACTTTCAGAATGAATACCCTGCAAGCTGATTTTATACAGTGTCACTTGAAACTGAACCTCGTGATCCAGCCTTTGTGTTCGCAGGAAAGACACCGTGTGGGTATCGTCAGTGTTTATGTCTTAGTTTATGTTGCTCATAGATTGCTCATTGTATTTATGGAACACTGCTATGATATGGAGGAACAATCTTGGCAAAATTGTAAACATGGCAAGTGTATGAAATACAATGTTTAACAAAATTTTGCCAAATTAAATTTTTATTAATCTTAATTTATTTTCTCAGCAGGATAAATGATCCTGCAGAGGTCTGAATTATACTCAAGGACCTTGCCATTAGATTTTTGTGATTCATAATTATCTTAATAGTCTGAGTAATTACTCAAAAACACATAGAAATTAATAGAGTAGATGAGGGCTCATGTTGGATCAATGATGACCGGATGTGGTATATGATTCTCGTATCATGACTACAGATCTGGGAGTCTGAGGTTCACAGAACAATAGCTAGCTTGTACCACACTCACTGGCAGCAATTATGAGTCCTAGTCTCGCCTTACGCTTAGTTTAAAACATATTTTGTAGCATATATTCCAATTAAGATGTAACTTCACAAGAAGAGTCCTAATAATATACCCCAATATATGAATAAGGAAGCCATCTGAACCATAATTAAAGCCTTGAATGTCATGGCCATTTGTTTTCTTGAGAAGCAGACATATTAGTCTAATACGTACTTGGTTGCAGAGTACGAGGAAAGAGACAAGACAGGCAAGTGGAGGGCGTGGATGTGTGAACTACAGAACTGGCAGTCTGAGGTTCACCTCATTAAATACTTAGTATAAACTCATTATCTCAGTGACAGATATTAGGAATAATCTACATTAACAGTTACATGAAATATAAATACAATTTCTATGTCATTTTATAATCAAGGCTTAATTGCATGAGTGTATTAAAATATATACCCAAAATAATACCTCATTCAGATGAGACGGCTGAGTTCATCACATGAATTAAAATTATAGGCAATGTTCTGGTGGTCAGAGGAGCAGCCCTTTGTTTTCTCAATGTGAACACACAGCAGATCAGAGCATATGTAAATGAGCGATAAGAGGAGAGGAGTAGGCCCAGCAAGCAGAGAACATGAATGAGTGAGCAGAATGCCAATATATTTATATTTCCTGCTTTATATGCTCAGAATGGTTCTCCCCTGAATTGATTTGCAAATTCTCACTTTGATGTGAGCTTCATGTTCAGACCTTTGGATTCATAATATAGACACACTATGAATATAGTCAACACTCCTGTGTTGGTTCATGTCGCTTTCAGTGACTGTACATAGTTTGATTAAAAATCTCACGTATTATCTGATAGGAACAGCCATCACCAAAGGGTTAATATAGCATATGAGTGAGACACAGTGTTCATTTTTTTTCCAGATTAAGAGTGCATAACAAAATAGACACTAATCATGGTGAAAGAGCCTTGGAAACTCTGAAGTATACTTAAGAATCTTGTCCTTGGATTTTTCTATTGTATAATTATCTCAGTAGTATTAGTGGCCAGTTGCTTGTAAATCAATAGAGAAGTAGATGGCTGGTGACTGCTGGTGCTGTATGCGTTGCTGATTGTACCTGCAGGTCTGGGAGCCTGAGGTCCACAGCATAAAATGGCTGTTGTATACCCATTACCTTAGTGACAGATATTAAGAGTAATTTTCTTTTATAATTATATAAAATATTAATGAAAATAAATTAGGAAATCTTTTTAAATTCAATACATAATTTTATAACAATAGTACTAAAATGTTATATCAAACAGTTCTTTTGGGTTTGATGGCTGAGAATACCATGCTACATCAACTAAAACCATAGGCAATGTTCTTGGTAGGGTCAGTGCCATGGCTGTTTTTACAAACAGATCACAAAAAAGTAAATTGTATACATATAGGGAGATAAGGAGAGTAGAAATTTGAAGTAGGGATATTGCATGGGTAAGAATAGTGAATGCCAATCTTTTTTTATGTTCTCTTCTTCTCTGTACTCTCAGAATGGCTGCCCTAAGCTGATGTCTAAATTCTTCCTTGGTTGTGAGATTCCTGCTCTGGTCCTTGTAGTCCTAAGATAGACACAGTTGCATGTAGTCAGTGTTCATGCCTTGAGTTTGGTCACTTTTAAAGACTACGCACACTATTGTTGAAATACTACTCGTCCTCGAAGACCGACTATGTTCAAATGGTAAATAAAGTTTCTATGTAAAATAGTGTGTTTAGCAATGTTTTCCCAAATTAAGAATTTAAAATTAAACAAATGTTCAACAGGGTAAAAGATCCTGTAGATGTTTGATGTTTGCTCAAGGATAATTTCCTTAGATATTTTTGTGATTTATAGTTGATTAATTACTCAATAACAATAGAGATAAGATAGGGCTGATGTTGGATCAATGATGACAAAGGGTGGCATATGATTCGTGGATCATGACTACAGGTCTGGAAGTCTGAGGTCCACATCCTAAAATAATCAGATTGTGTACTAGATCCCAGCAGCAGATATGAGTGATAGTCTACTTTTATATGTATATACAAAATAAATAAGTTGGTAAGGCATTTTTAAATTTGACATGATCCCACAGGAAAAGTGGTAATAATACATACTAAACCAACCCAGTTTTTCTGACAAAGCCTTTTAAATTGCTTTGTGAACTATAAGTAAAGCCTATGTCCTTGCTATTTGTTTTGTCAATAAGAACAAGACATAGTGTAATGTACACTCCAATGAGAGTTAGAAATAGGAAAGACCAGCAGACAGAATGCATGGATGAGTGAACCTAATGCCAACCATGTTTTCTTTTCTTCTGCTTTGTACTCCTAGAATGGAGCCACCAGGCTGATCCTTGGTCATGAGCAATATAGACACAGTGTGAGTACAGTCAATGTTCTTCTGTTTGTTTTGTGTGCTTTGCACAGCAGTTCTCTGTGTTGATAAAGGATTATTATCATCTGAGAAGAGCAGGTGTCACTGAAAGGTTAATATGGCAGGTGCTTGACACACAAAAAGTTTGCTAAATTAAGAATTAAGTAACAGACTCCCCATGGCAACAAAAGAAGCTCATCATGGCCAAAGATGCTGAGGAATTCTCAAATATATTTAAAGATCTTGTCCTTATGTTTTTAATTCATAATAATTTCAATACTATTTGTGATCAATTCCTCAGTCAACACATAAGAATTAATAAAGAAGTGAAGGGCTGATGTTGGATCCATGAGGACTTTTTCTTGCATATGAGTGAGTCTGTGTGAGTTTGGGATTGTGACTACAGAGATGAGAGTCTGAGGGTCACATCATCAAACACCTCCTGTATACTGATGATCTTACTAGCAGATGTTAAGACTAGTCTACTTTAACAGTTTGATAAACTATAAATAAAGCTACATTGGTAATGAATTTTTTGATCAAGACTTAATTCTTCAAGAGGAGTATTAGTAATGCATATCAAACATAGTTCAATTCGACTTGATGACAGAGGATGCCACATGAACTTAAATTAGTCAGTATTCTAGGTAGAGTCAGAGTCTTAGGTGTTTTCTCAGAAGGAACACATAATATAGTATTTCATTCTTAGATAAGCCGTAAGAGGAGACGGATACTGAATGTAGACAAAATGCTTGGTGATGTAAACAGAATGTCAATCTTTTTAAGATATCTTCTGCTTTACACACTAAGAATGAATTTCCCCAAGCTGCTGTCTTCATACTCCATTGTTCTTGAACTTCATGATCAGGTCTTTGGGCTCATAATATGGATATAGTTTAAGTATAGTCAGTGTTCTTGTGTTCATTCATGTTGTTTTTAGTGACTGTTCCTGTATTGATAAAGAACAATGTTTTATACAGGGAGAACAGCAATGGTCAAAGGTTTAATAAAACATGTGAAATATAAAATTTTGCTATTATTTAGCAGAATCCTAAGAATCTTTGAAGTATATTCAGAGATAATTTTCTTATATACTTATGATTCATAACTATCCCAATAGTATTGATAAGTTTCATGACAAATATTGACAAATTAGTAGAAAAAAGGAAGGCTGATGTTCGATCTTCTCTCCCCTTCTACCCTCTCCCATGGTCCCCTGCTCCCAATTTACTCAGGAGATCTTGTATTTTCTACTTTAGGGGTTACTTCTAAAGACTTTATTTTATTGATAAAACTCTGGTTGATCTGAAAGATCAACCTTGTCCAACTAGTAACAGTAGCATCTGTGTGAAATACAATGTTTAATAATATTTTGCCAAATTAAGAATGTATAATTAAAGAAATACCAAACAGCACAAACAATCTCATAGAAATTTGAATAATCTTTAAGGATTTTTGTCCGCTGTTTTTTGTGAGTCATGATTATCTCTTAATACTAGTAATCTATTTTTTCAAGAAACATTTAGAAATTGAGAAGATGATTTATTTTTGATCTGTGATTACCACCATTGGTGGAAATCTGAAGTCTGTAGCATAAAATATTTAGCTTATACGAACAACCCTGACAGCAGATATGTACGATAGTCTCCTTCTATAACCAGATAAAAATATGGATGAAAATGAATTTGTAAAGCCTTTACTAATTAAAGCAAGAGTAATACTTACATTTACTAAACTAGTTTGTTCTGATAGCCCTATTGATGATACCATATAAACTATAATTAAAGTCCATGCTCTTTGTATATGAGAACCATGGCCATTTTCCTCAAGAATACAAACCAGTTAGTTTAGTTCTACTTAGATGAGGGTTAACAGAAAGAAGCAAGATAGACAGGCAGAATTCATAGATGATTAACCATAATATCAGGCTTTACACCCTCATTTACTTTGTACTCTCAGGATGGATACCCGCAATGTGATTTGTACTTTTTCCACTTTTCCTGTGCTCTGTGATCAGCACTTGGGGTTCATAGTATGTGCACAGCGTGAAACCTTGTGTTGATTTGGGGCGCTGTCAAATGCTGTTCCTGTATTGATAAAGATTGAATTTCATTTCAGATGAGCAGCCATTGTCAAATGCTTAATATTCAATGTGCATGAACACAGTGTTTAGTAATATTTTGTCAAATTAAGAATGTATAACAAAATAGATACTCAACACTGCAGTATCCTGAGGAGCTCTTAAGAATACTCAAGAATTATACCATTAGGTTTTTGTGATTCATAATTATTTCAATAGTACTAGTGATCAATTGCTCAATAAAAATGCATAAATAGAGAAGAGGAGGGTTGATGCTGGATCTGTGATGACCACTGGTGCCGTATGAGTCGTGGATCATGACTACAGGTCTGGGAGTCTGAGGTCCACATCATAAATTATCTACCTTACCCCCTTGTCCCTGGCAGAAGATATGAGCGATAGTCTACTTTAATAAATGGGCAAAAATGTAAATCAAAGTAAATTGTTAAGGCGCTTTCCAATTAAAACATAACACCACAGCAAGTGTATAAAAATATATGCAAAATGCAGTACTTCATTTAGTCAGCATGATTGAGGAAGGCAATGTTGTCAGTAGACTCAAAGCCTTGTGCAATGTTTGTTTTCCCATGAAGAATGCGTCATAATGCTGTACATAATTATATGAGTGATAAGAGACAGGTACAGCAAGTAAACAATTCATGGATGAGTGAACACATGTCAATCTTTTCATATTCTCTTCTGCTTTGTACTCAGGATGGATTTCCCCCCAAAGATGACTTACACCTTCTCCTTTTGTGGTGATCTCCATGGTCAGCTCTTTGGGTTCATAATATAGACACAGTGTGAGTACATTCAGTCTTCTTATGCTGGATTGTATTGCTTTTAATGTCTGTTCCTGTATTGATAAAGGTCTCCTTATCATCCTGGAAGGGCCCTTGTCGCCAACATGTTAATCTAGCTTGTGCATGAAACCCAATGTTTAAAAAATGTTATCACATTAAAAAGTGTAATGAAAGAGACACTCATCATGTCAAAAGATCCCAGGGAGCTTTAAAGTATATTAGGGATCTTGTCTTTAGCATTTTGTGATACACACTCATATTTATAATACTAGTGACTGATTGCTCAACAAACATACATCAATTAACACAAAACAGGAGGACTAATGTAGGATCAATGATGACCAGGGTGGCATATGAGTTGTGTACCATGACTGCAGGTCTAAGGAGTCTGAGGTCCACCTCACAAAATACCTAATATATACCCATGATCTTAGCGATATTAATAATAACCTACTTTTTCAATTAGACAAAATATCAATAAAAATAAATATAAGTCAGGCATGGTGGCTCATGTCTTTAATAACATTATTGAGGAGGCAGAGACAGGTGGATCTCTGAGTTTGAAACAAACCTGATTTACAGAGCAGATTCTAGGACAGCTGGGGCTACATAGAGAAATCTTGGCTTAAAATGCACCTTCCCTCTCTACACGCCAAAAAAATAAGAAAAAAAAAAGTAATTTTTTTTCTTTATTGGGACTTGGTTTCTCTATGTAGCCCTGGATGATTTGCAATTATCTCAGTAGTACTAATGATCAGTTTCTCTATAAAAATGCATAAATCAATCGAGAAGAAGAGGGCCAGGGTTGGATCTGTAATGACCACTGGTGCCGTATGAGTCATGGATCATAACTACAGGTCTGGGAGTCTGAGGTCCACATCATAAAAGACAGTTTATACCCATGATCCTATTGACAGCTGTTAAGGAGATTCTATATTTACAATTACATAAAAATATAAAACTTAATTGATAAGTTAATTTCCATCAAGATCTAATTGCACAATTGGAGTACTAAAAGCATATACTTAACTCACTATTTCATTCGGACTTGATGACTGAGGATACCCAATGAATTAAAATTGTAGACAATGTCTTTCTTTCTTTCTTTTTTCTTTCTTTCTTTTTTTTTGCTTCAGACTCTTGGCCATTTCTTTTTTCTCAAGAAGAATACATGATAAGTGGCTTGATACTTACATAGGTATAAAAAGAGAGGGGTAATGTAAGTGGATAGATTGCATTGGTATGTAGTCAGAACATCAAATTGTTTGTGTTCTCTTTTGTCTTGTGCTCTCAGAACAGATATCCCAAAGCTGATTTTAGACCTTCTTCCTTGGTCATCAGCTTCTTGAACTACTGTTTGTGTTCATAGCATAGCTACAGTGTGAGTATAGTCAACATTCACGTCTTTGTTCCAATACTTTACAAGCTCTTTATTGTATTGATAAAATATGTGCTTCTTGTCATCTGCAAGGCCAACCATGGCCCAGCTGTCAGTATGGCGTAAGGTCCAAAGGCAATATTTAAAATTTTTTCCCAGCTAAGTTTGTGCTACCAAAAGATCACCAATGTGCCAGATATGCTGACTAGTCCTGAAGTATAGTCAGGGATCTTGCCTTAGATTGCTGTTAATGATCATTTCAAAAGTTATAATGAGCCATCATTACACAAACATCCAGAAATTAATAGACAAGAGGAGGGCTGATGTTGGATCAATGATGACCATGGGTAGCTTCTGAGTCGGACTGTGACTACAAGTCTGTGTCTGAGGTCCACATCGTAAATTATCTAGCTTATACCCACGACTATGGTAGCAGAAGTATGTGATAACCTACTTTTACACTTAATAAAAGTATGAACAGAATTAACTGTTCTTACTAAATATTTTTATTACATTTTAAAAAATTTAATTATATCGTTTTTTCTTCTCTTTTTTTCTCTCATTCTCATATACCTCTCCTTGGTCTTACTCAAATTTATGCTGTTATATGCACACACGCGCGCGCGCACACACACACACACACACACACACACACACACACACACACACACTCCTAAATATAATCTCAGTTTATATGACATTACTCATATATATGTTTTCAGGGCTGACCCTTTGGTATTGGTTAACCAATTGGTTTGTTCTTCCATGAAAACTATTGCTTCCAATCTCAGAATTCTTTAATTGTCTGTAGTTTTCTGTAGGGTTGAGGCCTCATGGGCTTTCCCTAACCACTGTAGCATGCCTAGTGGCATCTTTCAATGAGACAGAATTCCGTAGAAAGAGTACTAATAAAGTATACTGAATATTATAGTTTATTCATACAGCATGTCTGAGGATACCACATGAATTAAAACTTTAGTCTATGTTCTTGGTAGAGTTACAGCCATGTCTAATTTCCCCCCATGAAGAGCTCATCTCAATGTCACACATATTTATATGAGTGATAAGAGATGGGTAAGGCAAGTAGCATAGTGCATGGATGAGTGAACAGAATGTCAATCCTTTTATATTCTCTTCTGATTTGTACTCTCAGGATGGATTTCCACCCAAAGATGATTTACACCTTCTCCTTTGATTATGATCTTCATGGTCAGCTCTTTGGGTTCGTAATATAGACACAGTGTGAGTACAATCAGTTCTTATGTTAGTTTGTGTTGCTTTTAATGGCTGTTCTTGTATTGATAAAATACTCTTTAAGATCCTGGAAGAGCATCCAGGTCCAACAGGGAAAATTTGTCATGTGCATCATGCACAATGTTTAAAATATGATTAAATTAAGAATGTACAATGAACCTAGATCCTCAGCATATCTAAAGAATTTGAGGAACTATCAAGTAAAGTCATAGATCTTGTCCTGACATATTTATGATTCATAATATCTTAACAGTTAATCGCTCAACAAACACGCGTAAATTAATCAAGAAAAGGAGGGCTGATGCTGGATCTGTGATGACCACTGGTGCCGTATGAGTCGGGGATCATGACTACAGGTCTGAGAGTCTGAGGTCCACATCATAAAACAGCTACCTTATACCCATGATCATAGCTGCAGTTATGAATGATTTCCTACTTTTCTGATTAGATGAAAAATACCTACATAGGGCTTTACCAATTAAGTCATAGCTCCACAACAAGACTTCTAATTATATATACAAAAACAAAGTAGTTTATTTTGTATGTCTAACCTGTGCCATGTAAACTAAGATTATTGCCAGTGTTCTTGGTAGCGTCTGTGCCATGCTTTCCTGCTTCCTCAAAGAATAACAAATGGTGATATAGAGCACACATGGATGAGGGTTGAGATGAAAAGGGCAAGATAAGCAGATAGATTGCACAAATTGCCCAATAAAATGAAGTAAACACAGTGTCCATCTTTATACCATGTTCTGATTTGTAGAATGGATACCCCCAAGGGAATTTACATGCTCTGCTTTGGGCCTGAGCTTTGTGGTGAGCATGCTGAGTTTGTAATATAGACAAGACACAGTGTGAATATTGTCAGCATTCTTATATTGTTTTGTGTTACTTTGAAAGGCTATCCCCTTTATTAATAAAGGACTACTTATTATCTGGGAAGAACCAGTAAAGGCCAAAGAGTGATTATGGCATGCGTGAAACACAATATTTAACAAGATTTTGCTAAATTAAACTGTAATGAAATGGGTACTCAACTTAGCAAAGATCTTGAGGAACTCTTAAGTATTTTCAAGGATCTTGTCCTTAAATTTTCGTGAATATAATTGTCTTGATAGTACTAGCAATCAATTGCTCAATAAATGTGCCTAAATTAATAATGGTGTCCAATGGCAGTATATGATATATGGATCGTGACTCTAGGTTTAGATGCCTATGGTCTACATTTGAAAAATCTAGCATCAAACCATGATCCTGGTAGGAGACATGACAAATAGTCTACATTTATAGTTATATAAATAAAATAAATTTTAATGAGTTTCCTAAGTAAGGCCTAACTCAACACTAAGATTGCTAATGTATTCCAAACACAGTAGTTCATTCAGAGCAGGTTACTGAGGATACCATATGAATTAAAACTACAGGAAATGCCCTTGGTAGTTTGAGAGTCAGTTCTCTGTTTTCTCATGGAGAACACATCATAATGTCACACACACATCAATATGTAGGAAGAAGAGAATAGTACTGAGAGTAGGAAGGTTACCTGGGTAGGTAGATGGACTATCAATCTTTTTATGATCTCCCTTGCTTTTTTCAGAATGGATATCATTAAGCTGATTTTACGTTCTCCCTCGGTCATGAATTTTTTGATTCGTAATATTGTCACAGTGTGAGTATGTTCTGTGTTCTTGTGTTGATTTGGGTTTCCTTGAAAGGCTGATAAAGACTATTTATCACCTGCAATGAACAGTTATTGACAAAGTGTAGCACAAAATATATTTTTAAAAGTTTCCCAGTTTACAATATGTAACAAAAGAAATAGTCATGGTTGTAAAAGATCCTATAGAGCTCGGATGTATATATCATGATCTTGTCCTTTACATATTCATGATTCATAATGATATTAATTGTAGTCCTGATCAATTGTTCAATAAACAAACATAAATTAATCAAGAAGAGGATGTCTGGTGTTGGATCTGTGATGACCACTGGTGCCGTATGAGTCGTGGATCATGACTACAGGTCTGGGAGTCTGAGGTCCACATCATAAAAGAGCTAGCACCTACCCGTGATCTTCGTGACAATCTTAGGAATTGTCTACTTTTAAAATTAGATAACATACTAATGCGTATGAATTAGAGGGCATCTTACACTCATACTTCTATAGAAAGAGTGCCAAAACTATATACCAAACATAATTGTTCCTTCAGACATGAGTGAGGATGCCATATTAAATAAAATTATATGAAGTGTTCTTAGTAGAGTCATACCCATAACCCTTTGTTTTCTCGAGAAAGAATGTATAGTTTTGTAATACACATTTAGATGATAAGAAGAAAGGGACATGGATAAGTAACAGAATCTCAGTCTTTTTATGATCTCTTTTGCTTTGTACTCTCAGAAATGAAGACCCTCAAGCTGATTTCCACATTCTTCCTTGGTTATGAGGCTCGTGACCTGCTCTCTGTTCGTATGATAGACGATGTGTGAGTATGGCCAGTGTTTACGTTTTCATTTGGGTTACTTTTAAATACTAGTTGTTTTTAATGAATCTTCACTTGCCATCTGAGAAGAGCAGCCATGGCCAAATGGTTAACATGCCATGTGAGTGAAACAGTACTTTTTTAAAAAACAAAGTAAGCCTATATAGCAAAAGAAATATTCAATAGAGCAAAATATTTTGTAAATGTCTGATGTATTGTTTATGTTCTCAGTATACTAGTTACCTATCACTCAATAAACATAAAATAAAAATAAAAGTTAATAGAGAAGGGCCAGACTGATGACCATTGTTGTCATATGAGTTGTGGATCATCACTACAGCTGGATATCTGCGGTCAAGATTGCGAAGTATATAGTTTATACCCGTTCTCCTAGCATCAGCTGTGAGGGATGATGTGCCTGTATAAATATAAATAAAATAAATCAGCAAGGCATATTTAAATTAAGGTCCAGTTATTTACAAGAGTATGGATAATATGCAACAAGCCAAAAATTTCATTCAGATAGGATGAATTAGGCTACCACATGAAGTAAAATTACAGGTAATGATTTTGGCAAGTCCAAAAGCCATATCCAGTGTGTATTTTTAAAAAAAACACATTATAATGTGACATATACTTAAATGGCTGATAAGAAGGGGGGTTGTATACACAAGCAATGTCTATGAATGAGTAAGCAGAATGTCAATGTTTTTATGTTTCTGTATTTTTATATATGGATAACAATAGGCATTTTCCATATTTTTCCTTGGTCATGAACTTTGTGGTCTTGCCTTTGTAGAACAGACATGGTCTGAACATGGTGAGTGTTCTCGTTTTGGTCCGAGTTGCTTTAAAGGCTGTTCTTTATTTTGCTATCAGTACTTGTTAGCTGGGTAGAGCAACCATCATTGATCCAACAGCAACCCTCCTCTTTACTAATTTACATTTATTGAACAATCGATCATTAGTACTATTGAGATAATTTTGAATTACAGATAAATCTAAGGACAAGATCATTGATTATACTTTAAACCTCTATGGGATCACATGTCTAAGTCTGAGATCCACATTGTGATATGTGTGTACTCATCTTTTAATCTATGGGTAAAGTCAGTCATGCTCAAAGGTCCTATTTTTCAACTCATTCTTTCATTCACATACTATTTTTCGTGTTCATGACTTTTTATTTTCTTTTTTGTAATTGGATCAATGAATAAGTTATGACAAGATTAGTCATAATTAAAGTTAGATTGAGAAGTATTTCCCACATATGAGAATGATGCTGTTTATGAATTCAAAGACACTGTAATTCTATTAATTCATAAAAAAGGCCAAAGTTTTATATCTCTGGCTTAAATGGTAAATAATGACCTTATTCTTTTAGGGCCAAGGCTATGTTCAATGCTGTTTATTTTTTTTCCAAAATAAATATAGCTATATTTTGTTTGTTCTAAAATGACTAATCAAATGAGATAAAGAAACCAATAATAGTAGTGAGAGTGATTTAGTGGCATCCCTGTGGTCCCAGAGGCTAAGACCAGAGGACTGTGATTTCAAGGCCAGTTTGTATTTTTGAAAGCAAGCAATAATAATATTTAAAATAATGGTAGTTATAATAATTATAATATAATAATTAATATAATTATAATAATGGTAGTAGTTCATAGATAAATGGCTCTGAGGTGTTCCAATCATAGCTAAGAATGATAACACAGGGAAACTATTCCCCTCCATGGGGCCGATGGAATTCTCAAGAGAAAGCGTCTTTACACACCAGCTACCTTTTGTTTGTTTTTCTTTTTGGCCTTTGATACTTTCTTTTTAAATTGAGATTAGGTTTTTTCATATCATATATTCTGATCATGGCTCCCCCTCCCTTAACTCCTCACTGATCCTGTCTATCTCCACACCCACTCAACACTACCACTTCTTTCTCTCCATCTCTTTAGAAAACAAACAAGCGAATAACAACAACAGCCAAAAGTAGACCAAGCAGAATAGAACACAGCAAACAAACATTAGCAAAAACAAAGGAAGAAAAGCTTATGAAGGACATTCACATGCAGGGACAAACATGCACATAGAAAACATAAAAACAGATTTGGAAATAATAATATATAAATTAAACAACAGTAAGGTTCAAATTAAAATGCTCAGACAAAGTATTATGGGATTAAAAATCTCTAAATATGTTGTCTAGTTTTCTCTGAGTTGGTCTTTCTTGAATGACTCATGAAATGAAAGATAACATGCAAATGAATATGGACATAATAGGATTCCATTCAAATTTTGTTTTATTTTATACTCTCAGAGTAGACGCCTTCATCACTGCTCACCGGGGTCATGCATCATAGGGACCAACGTGAGTCAAAGTTTTTGTCTTTGTTTTAATTCTTTGCCCTGTTTTCATAAAGGAATCCAAGGACCCATGGCCCAGTGAGAAATATGATGTGCCATGAAATACTTGGTTTTGTCTAACCAATACTTTGAAATTAAGATTGATGTAGTCACAAAGTAGCCTACATGTAGCTGGTTTTCATGATTCACAGTTAGTGAACGAATAACCAGCTAATAAACAAGAGAACAGAGAAACTAGAGGCCAAGGTTGGATCAGTGATGACATCTTGTTGGGTATGAGCCGTGGATCATGACAACAGGTCTGGAAGTCTGAGTTCCATACCTTCGGGCATCTAGTGTGTATGTTCTGATTCTAAAGGCACTTGTTAGGGATGGCCAAGTATGTCATTCATCTTTTGAATTTTCATTTTGTCTTTAAAATTGGGTCAATTAAAGAATCCTTATGCAAATATGTAAATAAAAATTAAGCAACTCAACATTGTTCAGCATGTGAATCATGCTAGTTGAGAAATAGTAGCAAGCATGGACTCCATGCTTGTTTAGAAATGAATGACATAGTGATGTGCTAGATAAGAGTAATACATTTAGTTTACAATAGTGAGTCCTTGTTTTGTTTGGGGCTTGAGTATTCATTATTGTCTTATCAAGTAAACCAAACTGTGACAGTTTAGTTCCTACCCAAGTGACTTAAAAATGGAAGGCAAAATGAAAGAATAAAGGCTAGAATATAAATCTTTTGCAATTTTTCTTCTTTGCACTGTCAGCATAGATGCTTTCTGACTGATGTTCCCATTCTGGTCACCGAGTCCACAGTTACCCTACATGTCAGGAAGACAGAGACCAATGTGAGTACGGTAAAATCTCTGGACTCAGTTTGGGGGGGGGTTCTTTACGCTATTGGTAAAAGCATCATCCAAAATCCACTAAGGCCAACTATGGCTGACTAAGAAATAACCATGGCTATCAAACATTATGTCGATTAATCAAAACTTAACACTTTGTGCTTCAGAGTCACATAAAAGTTATTAATAAAATAATAATTAATAAGCAAATGTAGAAATTAATTGAAAAGGAAAGGTCCTATTTTGGGTCCGTGATGACCGTTGGTAGCCTGTGAGTTACACATCATCATTACAGTTCTGAGAGGCTGAGGTCCACACTGACTCTTACAAGTGGTCCTCTCCACAGACGTGCGAACAGAGGACACACATGTTCTTGCTGGTAGTAGTATTAATGGATTTTGGTTATATTGCAAATAGATCCATGAAAAATCAATAGATTCATAAGATAAAAATAAAAGTAACGAGGCATCACATTTATTAAAATTATAGAATGAGGATGTAGTTATTACTCCTATATATTGGAAGTATTAGTATTTCATTAGTAGCTTCTATATATTCCTTCTTTCTGATGACGTGGATTGTAGAAGCACAGGCCAATGTTCTTATTTTGATTTAGTAGGAAATTCAGTGCTAGTCCGCTTCTGAAGAGATAGTACACATGACTGGATAACGGGATGATAAATTGATTGAGCAGAACAACTTCTTAGTCCTTTCTTGTCTGTCCTTCTCAGAAAGGCCAGCTTCAGAGCAATGGGTGAATCCTGCCTGGTCCTCACCTCCAAGGTTGCCAGTGTTGTTAGGGTCACAGCTACAATCGTGAGTAATGATTACGTCATCTCTTCAATGTTTTCCTAGAGGATGTTCCATGTAGAGATATGATGTGCCTACAATGGTCAGTGAAAGGCAGTTGTCATTAACCATAAATATGGGATCATATAGAAGTCTGTACAAGGTTTGACTTGAATCAATAAAAAATGCCTTGTTACCACCACCAATACTTTATATATGGTGAATACCAGATGTTAAAATCAAAGGAAAGTTGAGTTACCACCTCCGTTGCTAATACTCCTGTAGGAAGTTGCTGAAAAGATATACGGGTGTATTCATGTGCTTTTATACTATTTTTGTAATTTTATTTATTAACATTAGAAAAGGGTTCAATAGACAAAAGTCAATATCAAGAGTAAAGCATCTTTCAATTATGAAAATGTCATGAAGGAAGACAATCTATAGTCACAAATTAACAACACTGAAATAAGTTAAGGGCAACATAGGGGCAAGTGCAGTTGCTAGTTCAGTGGTATAACGTCCCTATCTGGGTTCTATCTTCAATACCACAAAAACAAATAGAGATGACCTTTAAGAATATTACTTTTTTGGCTGATAATTAAATTATGAATACGAATAGACAAATGAACAATATTGAGGCAAAGGCACGCGTAGTCATTTCTGGTTAGGAAAGCTAATGTTTATCTGAGTGATGGAGCAAACTGAGCAAGGACAGTGAGTGCACGGCACCATAGTTTCAAGCCTCCTTTTGGCATTGTACCCCTACTCATCAATGTGATGAAGATGGTGACAGATACCTCTGATTGTCACATTGAAACTAGTTAGAGCAGTAATGTCTCATTTGCCTGAAGATGCTGTTTTAAAAAGTATGCCCTCTAATGTTGGAACACTCAGTTCTAACTGAGATGTCTCCATCAAATCCCTCCCTTCAGGGATCAGGGAACCCCATGGAAGAGGAGGTGCAAAGATTGTAAGAACCAATGAGAATGAAGGACACCAAGGAAACAAGGCCTTCTAGATACAGCAGGACCGATGCAGATGTGAACTCATAGAGACGGTGGCAGCATGCATGGGACCTGCCAGATGGGGTCCCAGCGCTGAGAGGGAAAGGACATAAGCCCCCATCCCTAACTCAGAAGCTATCTCCGATCGATAGAATTCTCTCAGGAAAAACTCTTTTTCTCCAATGGAATCTCACTGGATGCATAGACTACACCTAAGAGCAGGCTCCATGCTCAGATGGCCAACACAAAATGAACTCAATGGCATTTTTGGAAGATCTTGTGTCATGTAATGATTTGTCTGGGTATTTTTTCTTACCCTATAGACATTTTACGTATATCTTGTGGTTTCTGATTTTAGTTTTTATGAGTTTTCTCTGTTTGTGAATGTTTGGTCTCAGCACCTGTATTTGTTTCTGGTGATTTTATGTAGGCTCTTTTTTTTTGCCTATTCTGTTAGGTTTATCTTATTTTTCCTCCTCCTTAGTTTAGATGCCTATTTTCATTGTAATGAGAGAATGAAATAATTAGTGTGAATTTGGGTGGGTGTGTAAATGGGGAGAATATGGGAGGTGTTGGGGATGGGAAACCATAATACAAATGTATTGTATGAAACAAGTATGTTTTCAATAAAAAGCATTTCCTCTATCATTAAGAAAAAGTGTGAAGTCCAATTATTGAAAGTGAATGGATGGATCACTGGAAATATAAACAAATAATTTGAGTAAATGGATCCTCACCTAGTCATGTAACCCATATCACAAGATAAAAGTTATTGAGGATACTGAATGTGGCTAGATCTGACCCTTAGGTATTATATGTATATATGAATAGTAACTAAAATATCTTTTAAAAGAAAGGTAGAAGCAATTATTTTGCTATTAGAAGAAAATAGAAATATTACAGTGTTGTCTTTTGAGCTATGAAAAGTTGAGAGTGTACATATGTGTCTCTATCCCCATGGGGAGGAAGCTCAGTCAGTGGGACAGCCTTTGCCAAGTATTCACAAGGTCCTGGTTCTCTCTCCAGTACTAAAAAAGAAAGTGGCCAATGATCAAAGTACACCTTCTTGTTAATGACCCTATGAATATTGACAAATAATATTTGTGTCTCTTCTATCCAGAAAATATAAGTATTGAAAATACACATTTAAGTCACCAAATGAGTTAAACATGGCAGCAATGACTTAAGAGAGACAGGAGCATTTTTCTTAAGTGAAGTATTCTACATTGTGCTCCTTGAAAAGGAAACTCTTGTGCTGAGTTTGAGATTTGTCTACAGCCATTGCTATGTGAGTAGCTCTGTGGGTTTGGAGCGCAGCACTGATGTGAGTTGTCATGAACGTTTTGATGTATATGCGCTGTTCACTTGAAATCTATCAAATACAGCTGAACAAAAGCAGCCAGGGTGAACACAGGATTGATATGTGGCGTTGCATTGGTCAATCTATACATGAAATCTTAATGAGTCAGTGAGTTACATATCATTTCAGCTGATGATTGCCTAAATAGATGAAGATCTTGGCAAGGTTTGTTCATGGTTAGAGCATATTAGTCTGTAGCCTTTGATTCTTTACAGGTAGCTAGAGCGTTAATTGGTAAACAAGGCTGGATAATAAGGCATGCAGTAGCCAGAATCCGGATCAATATGACTGCTGGGGTGAGTCACAGGCAGTGAATTGCATCTGGAGCACTGAAGCCCAGGAGAAAAATAGTTATAACTTTTACCCACTCCAGAATGAATGCTATAGATAGATTCAGGATTTCATAAGAGTCTTGTCTGAGTTTGTTTTTCACAGGTTTTGATTATTTTGCAGTCAGGAAATCAATAAGAGAATGTACAATCAAACACTCAGTTGGACATGTTAAAGAGGTATGTTTTTATTGTGAGTAATGTAAAAGTATAAAGAATCAATGGATAATTATAAATAAGTAAAGAAGGGGGCATATTGTCATATAATTATAACAAAAAGAGCACTATTACCAGTATTAATGCTAATGAATAGTGATAATTGACCAAGGGACAAATAATCAGAGATCTTTCTTGTGGGTAATAGTAATGACAGAATCTAAACAATGGCTGGTATTCTCACTTTGGATTAATAAATCTTCAATGTTGTCTGGTTTTTCTTAGTAGACTATGAAATAGATGCTAAGCAAAATCAGATACATCCAAGTGACCAAACAGTGACTCAAAGATACCAGGGTCAATGGAAGAAATATATCAATTTTTATCAGGGTCCACTTCACTATGCAGTCAGGTTGAGGCTAAACGGGGCTACATAAGTCCTTGCCTTTAAGAAAATTTAATTACTCAGTATACACAGTAAGTAAGGAAAGGTGGGGAAAAGAGTTGTCTGTGCCCATTATCCATGTACACTGGGCAGCAGCAAGATCAGATAGCATGAATGTGCACTTAATCTAGACCCCCCCAAAGCCCATGGAAACATCACAGTTTTTTAATAATTAATCGATATTTGTTGTATTGTCGTGAGAGATTAATTAACAAACTAAATGAAAATAAGTAGGAGAGGAGCCAGCCCAGCATTGCTGATGGTGGCGGATGAATCCCACAGTGAGTACTACGTTTGAAGCTGTCAGGTCCAGTAAAGACACAATAGAATGTATCGTTTGTGTTTGAAGGGCCCTCAGGCATGGATGCTAGGAGCGCAAAGGGACCTTTTTCTTAGATTGTTTTTAAGCAGTTTTATTCCTGTATTGTACACAGATAAATGTGACTGCTAGAGTAGATGTAAAAATACAGACTAACAAGTATAAAACCTGTAAGCTAGGTGGCAAAGCCAAAAAAGCATTAAATACATATTATTTCAATTTCTATATACATAAGGAACTTGATGAATGCACATGTCCTGTGTCTTAATCTCCTTTTTTGTCTATTTTGCTTTAGCTCTCCTAGACTGAACTGTGAACTGTGAATCTGTTCTGCAGATTTCTGGTCCTCGTCTTTGCCTCTTTGGGTAGGAGCATTCTGTTCACTATAACAGTTATTTACTTTTTTGTTTGTTTGTTTTTAGGTATACTCATGGTAGCATTCAAAATAAGTATGAAATATGTTTTTTCAAAGACAAACATGGTCCAAGGAATGAATAGAAGTTGCATGAAGTGCCTTGACTCATTGATATTGGCAACTATGTGGGTAATTGATGCCGAGGGGCTTATTCAATTAGAGATTAATTCCAAAGACAAATGGCAGAGGCATAGATGTCCTTGAGCTTTTGTGATTAATTCATATGTTATTAGTAAATCAATGAGTCAACCAATAAACAACTTCAGACGAGAACAAAGATGGGCCCAGACTAAACCCAGTGGTGGTCATTCAGTGGCACAGGGCTCCTCCATTGACTGTGTCTCTGGACGACTGAGGCCCAGACAGACATTAACTGGTTCAATTCCTGTCTTGTTAAGGATTCTGTGGAGGAGGGATAGGGATATACAATGATCTTATTTGTATATTTGTATTTTTGTCTGGGAGGGGTGTGGCCGTTTATCCCACAGCATATACCTGTGGAGGCCACAGAACAACTTCTGGGAGTCAGTCCTAGAGATTGGTCATCTGACTCGGTGGCAGGTGCCTCTGCCCACAGAATCATCTCACTGGTGGGACCTTTTTTTTAATTTTTGTCATTACATGCTTCCTTTTATTGATATAAGTTGCTTGTAGACCAATAAACGTGTATATAAGTAAATAAAGCCTTGCCCTACTTTGAATATATGCAAGGAAGCAGGAAACATTAATGTCAACTGTGTGTATTAAAGCATCTTAAGAAGAAGCATGGGTCAAAGGCCCGAGTTCTTTATTAAAGATCATATAGGCAGTGTTCTGAAAAACAGTCCTTAATATTATGATCACATGTCAATACAATGCAAATATGGTCACACAAATATGGTCATTTTGATGCAGGTGTTTATGGTACAGTAGTTTTAATAAATGCCTGAGTGAATGGCTTAGTGAGGAGGACGGGAGAGACTGCGGTAGGGTCATCTTTCTAACCTTCTTTGTCTTTTTCTCTGAGGAACCGTGTTTTTCTGCTAGTGAGAGACCTTGCCATGCTGCTTGCTTCATGGGAGGAGGGCGCAGAGACCAAGGTGAGTGCGAATTAAATGTTGAGTACCTTGTGAGTTTTTCTTAAAGCATTTATTACATTATTAAAAGTATAAAGAAGTCTCTACAAGGCCAGCTCTGGGAAATGATAAAAAGGGAATTAGCATGAAATATTACACTTATAAATTCATTGATGATAATTAGAGAACATGATATGACTATGGCTGACAATCCTAAAGGCATGAAGAATATTTATTGCTCTTAGGTTTCATGAATCTTAGTTTTTAAAATTAGGACTATTGAATTAAATTACTTGTTTAATAAACACATGTAAATTAGTGTGAATAAAGAGGTCCCAACCAAGGCCATTGATGGTAATATAGGTTTAATGAGTTGCAGTGCTGTGTGTTTTAGGTCTGCCATGCTGAGGTCTGCTTATACAATCGGTACAGTTTATTATCCCTGTTAGTGACTCTTGAGACAGGTATTAGGGAAGTTGAGAGAGTACTGTTCTTAGACATGACCCAAAAAATTAGCACTGTAAAATTATATGCACATATATTATATTACTATACATTAAACAGTAAGCTTTAATAGGAAATATACACAATACATGTGTCTTATTTCTTTAAGGATGGTAGACACAAGAAATAATGGAAGTTCAATTGTGCCAATTTTTTTTAGAGAGAACTAGCGAATGTTTTCACATCTCACTAGAAGTGGCATGCCCGGGCAAGTGGCGGGCAGATTGACAGTGCGGTGGCATCTGACTGTGATTTTGTTTGCTTTTCTTTGTATACCCCAGAACAAATAGGCTTAAGTATTCTCTAGTGTTCTGGAATTCTAGGCTCCTCCCTGTGTGTGGGAGCATGTGGTACATGCTGAGTAATAGAAGTTCTAGTCTTGGTTTAGGAGGTTTGCTTTAAGACATTTATTGATCCAGTAAGCAAACATTAAATGTACTCAAGGCAGGGGAACAATGCCCTAGTGATAAATGTGGCATTGACATCAAACATCATATTGATTAACTAATATATGTAGCATAATGATTGGTCAAAGAAGAATCTAAGACAACAAATGATTGTCTGTATAAATGATAAGCACATTTAGAGGCCTTGATTTCCATAATTCCAGTTTTATTGTTATTAGTGATTTAATAAGTTAAATAACAATCCCATGTAGATGATGATGAGGAAAGAGTCATGGCCCAGAACCATTGTTGAACCGGTCACATGTGAGTCAGAAAAGATGAATAATTCATGTTTGGGCCTGACAGTTTTCAAGAAAATACAAGGACTCTTTTCTCACCTCTGAGTTCATGAATAAAAAAACCTTTTTTTAAAAATAACATTTGAAATTTTTCTTTTGAAAATTTCATACATGTATATAACGCATCTACGTCTTACCCACCTCCGACCCTCCCTCCAGTTCCATCTATGCCCCCTAAACACATCTTCTTCCCAACATCATGTCTTTCCTTTTTTTTTTTTTTTATAAAAAAAGTCTTTTAAAATATAACTCATTGAATCTAATCAGTGCCTTAGATCAGGGTATCCACTGGGGTGTGGACAGCCTACCAGTGACGACTC